ACCTATGATAGAAGACATAAACTGAATCCTACTAATATTATAACCGTGAAAGTTCGTTTATTTGTTACTCAATCACGCAAAAATTACAGCACGGTACTACATACATTGGTACGCATATAGTGAAAAAAAATATATATTATTATTTATTAAAAGCTATATTGGTTTATAGCTTTTAACGAACCTAAATTATAATATATATATTTTTTCACGTTTCTATAACTGCTATTAGCGCCCACCTCCAGAAACAGAGACGTGTATATGACCTGGATTGAGATATGGGACAACTTTTATCCCCAAAAAGAGTTAATTAGTTCCTGTAGGACTCTCAAAAAACTACAGATAACGCGGACGAAGTCGCTGGTGATCACTAGTTTAAAATAATCTACAGCTTAAACTTCACAATACCTACTGCTTAGAGTAAAAAAAAACAAAGGCAAAGTAATATGAAAAGAGTTCTGTTACAAAGATATTTATGGGTTAAATTTGAAAGACAGGAAGAGGTTTTATCTAATTTCCTGTAAGATGGCTCGAATTCAAACAAGGATGAGGACGAACGAGGCAGCCTTCGTCCCCTAGCATAATGAAACGATTTGCGGCCTCCTTTCGGAACGTGTTAAGCCACTTCGAATAAAATGAATTACTTGGTGAAGGCAAGCCCCTACTTACTGTCGTTAGGAAATTGCTTGAGTTCCCCGTTTTGTTTTTAATTTGATTGTGTTAGGTTATTTTTAGTTAGTGGTCCGTTCTTTTGAACTTATTGTAGAGATATAACTACAGACTACTAAATAATTACTTATATAACTATTGCGGCTGGTGTGAAACACTTAAAGTTTCACTTCCATCGTGGTTTCATAAAACAACTCATTTTTTTAATTAACACAAACTCAAAATCATTTATTCAATCTAGGCTATTACAAGCTCTTGTGAACGTCAACTCTATGCCATCGGTTTGTAAGGCCCGTATTATAGAAAGATTCTCAGTAATTGATCTAGTCTTGAGCATAGTTAGAAAGGGATGTCGCTATATATAGCACATAGCGACATCCCTTTCTAACTGTACTCAAGTAAAGATCAACATTTAGTTGTCCTTCTGTAATACGGGCCTAAATCCACTGCAAGAGCTCTTGTTCTGAGAAGAACCGGCATGAAACTCAATAAAGGCTATTTTTATCAACCAGTTTTATTTCATATGGTGTCGTCAATTTGGTGACGAATAAGATGAATACACCCACATTGCCTACTAAATGACGGTTCATTATTAACTGAAAGCCCTCATTTCAATAGCTCTCTACTTCCTCTAGCCTAACGACTTTACCACGCTTGATAATAAATGTCACTTTGTCGTGACATATTTAAGTTGAGTAAACAGTAATGTACCCTTGACTACTACTTCAACTTAATTTAATTAACTTTACTTACTTAAACCATGTTAATTAAGTTCTGTGGTTATTTTGTATGATGTTTCAACACAATCTTGTGCGTACATTTTCAAGTTATACATGGAAATAACAATGTCAGATGATTGTTTATTATTTCCCACTTATATTTGTGAGTAGCTTTCCGCCTGCGACTTCACCCGCGTGGTGTCATTATTTAGAATATAAACAAAATAGCCAAAACATTTGAAAATGAGCTAAGATTTTTTTTTCTAAAATAATTAATTCCTTTACATAAGAAATTACAAATTTTTATACCTGCACATTTTTAATTTGTTATAATTAAACGTTATATAAATGATTTTTACAAAAAAAAACACTTCTTAAATTTTTCTTCGTTAAAGACACCTTCATACAAAGTTTCATGGTTCCTCAACAAGTAATTTTGGCTGTTCATGTACCTGGTTGTTGACAAGTCAGTTTTTTTATTTTTATTAGGAAATGGACAAAATAATAGAGCCACACTGAATCGTACAGTGAATACTTTGAGCCTTTCAATCGATAACTGTAGGATCTATGCATCGAGCTTTTAAGGTTTGTGTGTCGTAAATTCTCTAGAACACAGACACGGGCTGAGAATGCCACACCTTAGCTGTGCGCATTTTAAAAGACACTGACGACGAGTAGACGAGTACACTTCATTTAACCCCTGATAACTAACCATTCGTTTCATAGACTACGGGCACACAACGTATTTGGTGTTTAAGTAACTTCCCGTTCGCCCGCCGCCCCGCCCACTTAAAGTACCTTTACCTTCCTACCTGAAATGCTACGACAGCCATAGCACAATTTATTCTTTGATATAGTATTGTATTATTATCAATATTGTTTTTTTATTTGTTATGAGTAGTCATGCTCTCTTAAAAATCTCTTCGGCGGTGTCGTGTGAGCCGGGTCGTTACGTTCCCAAAAAAATGGTTGAGCGAAGCGATGGCTGGTTCATGCGTCATGCTCGTGAACGGGTGCTGCCATCGGAGATGAGTCTGGTCTTTGCTACATTAGGTACTATTAATCGTTGTATTTAACTTTAATGGTACATTTGTTTTTATGCCTAAACAGTAGGCCACGGCATTCCTAAACTTTTTTCATTTTTAAATCTGTTTTTTATATTTTTTATTTTATAGTCATAATTGTTTTATCATTTACATTTGTAATGGAAAGTGACTTCATGAGTTATCTCATATTAAAGTCATTTTTCAAATTGACGACTCTGTATATAATACAGGGAGAAAAAAACCGCCCTTGCTGAGTTTCTTGCCGGTTCTTCTCAGTACAAGGTCTCCCGCCGTAGATTTGCGAACCGATGGCGTAGCTTTTCGACATTCACAAGTGCTTGTAACAGCCTAGACTGAATAAACGATATTGAATTTTGAATAATATATCGACGGGAGCGAGCAAAAGGACTGCAGCGTTTTTCAAGCTGAAATAATTAACAATGAACAGGCCAACGGTGTCCTCAACAATGTTTTGCACGTGCTTTTCCAACCTGTCCATTTTCACGTCACGTGTATTTTTTTACTATATTTTTATCGTCCTTTTGACCGGTAATTGAAAAACCTTGTCACGTTTCCTGAAACCTTAGCTTGTTATCCAGTGCTCTGTTCACATATCTTAAATGACAATTTGCTAAGCAGACACGAAATACCTAATAAAAATATCAGCTTACGATAATAGGCTATTTGATAAGCTTTTGAAAACGTTCATGCGTCATTAATTAGTGTATAGTGACTCTATAAATAGTGGATATTATAATTCTTTTGTTTCATCATCATCATCAGCCTATTAATGTCCCCACAGCTGGGGCGCAGGCCTTCCCTATGGATGGAATAGGGAGATTGGGTCATGACGCAGGCCCAGTGCGGATTGGTGGGTGCTGACGCAGATACAGCCGGTACCAACGGCTTAACGTGCCTTCCGAAGCACGGAGGAGCTCAAGATAGTAAATTTTTGGTCACCCATCCAATGACCGACCACTGCGAAAGTTGCTTAACTTCAACGATCGCAGCCGAATGCGATAACCACTTGCGCCATCGAGCTCCACATGCTATAAAGCTTTTGTTTATATAGCAGTAAAAAATGGAAATAAAAATTATATTTTCAAATATGCCGCGGAAACGTTTCCCTAGCAAATATGGCGTTTATAGGCAGATTAGTCACACGACTCTCAATATAACTTGAATAGTACAAAGTAATTTCACGTCGACAACATGTTTACAAGCATGTGACAATAGATACATTTTGCTTTTCTATGGTTATCTATTTAATTTAAGTACTTCTTTTGTCAGAATAGACTATATCGCTCCCAATATCCATGTTGAATACACAATACACATACCAACAATAGGGTATTTGACAAGTTTTAGAAAACGATCTCACGCTATTTACTAATGTTTATAGAGTCCTTAAAAGTGGATATTCATCATTATGTTGTGTATTTCGGTAAAAAAACTAAATCAAAAACTGGTGTGTGACGTCACACGACTGTCATTAAAACGTCAAACCATACAATCTAATGTCACTTTAACCGGAAATTCTAAAAACAGATGCTAACAATTGGCACTTTATTTTTAATACTGTCCAATAGCCTAAACAATACAAAGAAGCTTAAATTGTAAAGACTCACAAAGAAGTACCGTTATACAGAAAGCTTATCCTTCCTGTTTTTGCGCTACCTGTTACTAAACAGAATTATCATGCTTTGCGAATTCCGACTCTTTAGAGGCACGTCGCGTGACTAGGAAATGCATCGACTAAAATAAAAAGATTAACGTTCACACAGCACGCGATGCTAATGGTAGTTTACTTCGTTCAAAACTTGGCAACACTAACCACAATCAGAATGCACCATTTTAGATTGGTGGCGGTATAGCGCAAGTACGGGCAAACGTAAATACCTTTATATTATTGGGCAAATAAGAAGCCCACCCAACTTAAAAGGTGCTTCTTCGTGTCTCATTTGAAAGCCTACGATTTGTTGATACAAGAAAATTCGAGTACGGGTATATTCTCCTTTATAATAATACATCAACTTATCGTTGAGTTTCGAAGTATCACTACCTACTCCATTAGGATTAATGGGAAAAATCGGGTCACTCTCGCTACGGGATTAGTACGCTGCGGGTCTATCTGCGCATGTAACACACAGAAGCCGGGCGCTATGATGACGGGCAGCGTGCGCGAGCGCAGCAGCGGGGGTGAGGCGCTTATTTTATTTTACATTTTCTCCGAGCATTTAAATCTTACGTCTACAATTTTATTTCATTATATCCATCATACTAATGCACTGCATATTGATCAAGGAAATCCAGTAAGTTTAATATAATACATATTACAAGGGGCTAGGGAGCATACGAACTGACGGCTCACCTTTTGGTAAGTGATCACTGTCGCCCAGAGACACCTGAAACACAAAATCACAAATACGAAGCCGGCCTTAAAGGAAAGAGTACGCTCTTCTTTTGAAGGTTTTCAGGTCGTATTGGTCCGGAAACACTGCTGGTGACAATGTACTATACAGTTTTGTCGTACGTAGTAAAAAAACAACGGGTGGCACTCCTAAGCTAGTCACTCACCATTACTACGCTGCGGGTCGATCTGCGCGTGCAGAATGGAGAAACCGGGCGCTATGATGGCGGGCAGCGTGCGCGAGCGCAGCAGCGGGGGCGGGGCGCGCCGCCCGCCGCCGCCCAACGCCTCCGCCGCCGCCGCCGCTGCCGCCGCCGCACTGAAAACACGACAAATATTTAAAGAAAGAAATAAACAATTTACTGACCAATAACATTCCAAAATAAAAAATGGTTGCCTGTAAAGTCGGTTTTACGGGCGAAGATTTTACGTGACAACGTCTTTTTCTCGGTAGAATATTTATTGATATGAATATAATTAAATTGCACAATAGGAACAAGGAATTGAATGAAAATAAGAATTGCACAAATTTTAACTATAGAAATATATTTTGTTTACTAAAACATTGTACATGTAAACTTAAACTCATCGTAACGTTACCGAGCGTTACACTTTTTCATAAGTGACTCCCAGCCGCAACCTAATTTAAGACGTTGTCACGTCAAAAAGCATAAATTAAAAAAAACAAAAGTAAAAATAGTTCAACAAAATTAGGTCTCTGCCTCTGCCCAATTTGATAGTTGGAATAGGGATGATGACGAAAATTGTTTTCTTTGACTATCAGGTAGATTATCAAAAAGTATTGGACAAGTATCTTTTATTTTTTGACGTGACAACGTCTTAAATTAGGTTGCGGCTGGGAGTCACTTATGAAAAAGTGTAACGCTCGGTAACGTTACGATGAGTCTCTCGTGTTAAGTTTAAGTTTACATGTACAATGTTTTAGTAAACAAAATATATTTCTATAGTTAAAATTTGTGCAATTCTTATTTTCATTCAATTCCTTGTTCCTATTGTGCAATTTAATTATATTCATATCAATAAATATTCTACCGAGAAAAAGACGTTGTCACGTAAAATCTTCGCCCGTAAAACCGACTTTACAGGCAACCATTTTTTTTTTCACATAATATTTTGATTTGAAATGGCGCATGACGTCACGCCTTGATATTTTTTTTATAAGAAGTGACGTCAAGAGGGGCCTCTTCCAAACTTTGGCGCGCTTTATCTTTGTAACTTTTCTTTGATTGACAAAAGAAGAAATACTTGTCGCATGACGTCACGTCTTGATCAATTTTTTTATAAAAAGTGACGTCAAGAGGGGCCCTTCCCAACTTTGGCAAGCTTTATCTTTGAAACTTTTCTTTAATGGACAAAAGAAAAAATACTTGTCCATTATTTTTTAAAAGTCTAACTGAAAAACTAAATGGAATTTCGTTTACTTTACCCTGACATCACCCCTATTGCTTCTTAGTTATTTTATATTCACCGGGCTAAAGTGTTTAATCTTAAGCTAGCACTTCAGATGGCTTATACAATTACTAATATAAATACGATGTATTTAAGAAATCGCAATGACATATTGAATGACACCGCCGCACTAAAATCACATTTAACCACAGACATCTGTACATTTCAAACTTTAATTGCGTCTTTGTCATTTTTAACACTTATACCAATAGGCATGATGACGGGGTAAAGTAAACGAATTTCTATTTAGTCCGTCAGTTAGATGATCAAAAAATAATGAACACGTATTTTTTCTTTGGGCAATCAACCAAAAAATGACAAAGATAAAGCGCGTCAAAGTTTGAGAGTAGAGGCTCATGACGTCACTTTTAAGTGAAAATTGTATGAAAACGTGACGTCACGCGACTTTTCAAATCAATATATATTTGCAGAGATATATATATTGATTTGAAAAGTTGCGTTTATATTATATGAAAAAGAAAAAATACGTGTCCAATACTTTTTGATAATCTACCTGATAAACGAAGAAAAAATATTAGTCATCATCCCTATTAGCCTTACCCCAAAACAAGCACTGTATACTGTATAGTTATACTAGAGTTACTCTTTTGTTTTGGGGCAAGGCTATCTATTGATAAAAACACATAAAATAATAAGTAGGCTTCCGTCCGGCCGCCGTGCTGCTGCCAAAAGATCCAAAAAATCGTAATGTTAACAAATATATTAGCATAGTGTTGTTTGGTCTTTTTTAATTACTTCTTACTATTATACTCAATTGGGCAAAGTAGAAGTTCTTGTTATACAAATTACAGTGACGTATTTACGTAATGGCGCGCTCTAATTGTTGTATAAAGTGTTCAGGATAAGGTTCTAACTTTCCGGTCTGTAGTAAGTTTAAGTTAAGACGTCACGTATTCTATAAACTTCTTCGTTTGTTTTACACCAAGAACAATAAATCGTCCAGACGACCGAAGTGACGAGGGACCAAACTATTTTTTTTTAATTCCTAGATTTTAGGCCATCCTATTAATACTTCAGACTTTAGGCAAACAGTGTAGAAAATTCAAGCCTTCATTTTAATTAGACAAAATTATTTCAGAGATATTTCCTAAATAGAAGAAGACCAATCAAAAATTTACAAAGATAAAGCGTGTCAAAAATTGGGTGTGGGCTCGTGACGTCACTTCTACTAACCACAATCAGAATGCACCATTTTAGATTGGTGGCGTTTTAGCGCAAGTAGGAGCAAAGAATTTATGCTGAAGGCGTAAATAACTTTGTATTTTAAGGCAAATTAATAACCCTCATAGCTTACAAGGTGCTTATCGTGTCTCATTTTAAAATCCCTATTATTACAATCAATAAGACTGCTCTTCGACATTTATGAATTAATTTTACACATTAACAAAACAGCTAGAAACAACAGCTTCGTCTGTGGATGTAGTGCCTCCGAAAGCCGTTGCTTTAAATACTTGTGTACTGTGATAGAATAATTGATTATTCGCCGGTATAGATTTATAGAGACAATTAAATTGGGAACTTTGATTAATTAATAATCTCTCCAATGAAACAATCCCTTGAATTAGATGGTTTCGCTATAATATGAGGTAAGTTCCTAGAATGTGACAGATACTGTAACTGCTCCTTAATTAAAGAGCGTGTTTAGGAATATTTACGTAGCTAGCTGGCGCCATTGTGACATGAGGTCTTTTGTATAAAGAATTTGCGAATTGATCGAACGAGCATTTAAATTGATCCGAGTTTTGGCGGGATTTCATCGAGTGCAGTTGGCGTCTTATTTTAATTATTGTTAAATTCGTTCATAGTGAATATTGTGAAATAAAATTGGTGTGATTTTGTATTTGCAACCGTCTGCGTAACTGAAGAATTAGTGGAATCTTCAAAATATACGCTATTCCGGTCAAGTGGAATTGAGAACTTTATTGTAGTTTTGACTACCTCATAGAAGCTTATCGAAAAAGCCAACTCAATTCATTTCGTGCCAAACGCTACAAGAAACATACGAAGAATGCGTCACAAAAAATAAGATTTATATAACTTAAGACTGGACTGTATGGGCATTGTTCTCTTTGCCTGCCCTAAAAGGGAGAATCTTTAAAAAATTGATCCATAGATTATTTACACAACACATAGATGATTTGTTTGACGGATGAGACCTTTCGGCTCAGTGCTGCCATCTGGCGCTCTTCATTTCAGAAAACCAAGGTATGTCTGACTTGAAATTAAAACATAACTGTTGAAGTATTAATATTTGCCATTTTTGTCATTATTCTCCTCCAACTGTGAATCATACAATGTTGCATCTCTATCGAAGATTTCTGTCTACTTGATATTGCATTCTGGATGATTCTGATGATGAACTGGATTATTGAATACTAGCGGCCGCTTGCGACTTTGTAGGCGTGGAGTTAGTTAGAAATAAAGGTTCACTGCTCGTCCCCTAGGTGATAGCGTGATAATATGTAGCCTACATGTTTCGTGTCGAATTTGAAGTAAATCCATGCAGTACTTTTTGAGCTTATCCCGGACATACATACAGACAAACACAATTTTTTTTAAAACTATATTTTTGGTTCAGTATCGGTTGTACATCACACCCCAAGTATTCTTTTAAAAAAATATTATTAAATGTACAGTTTTAACTTTCCTAACATTTTATTATATATATAAAAAGATTGTACGTAGCTACTTTTGCTGATTATATTAAATCTGAAATTTTGCACTGAATAGATATATTGATCACAAGTTAGAATCAGATTCGTTACCTTCAGTTATTCGAGTAGACACATTATCTAACCAAGACGCCGATTGCAAGCGTGACATTGTTCTATGTTGATCAACTAATACCAATGTTATTGACGTCTCAAAGAATTTCATCATAACGTTGAACTCTCAGTGAAGTCAGAAGTGTAAAAAGTATCAATATTAAGAGGTAAGTAAGACATATGATCAACTAGATACCCCGTTAAAAATGTTATTGTATGGGTTAAATGCAAAATATTTCATACTACCTCTAGATAAGAGTATTTGGTTTCCAATACAACATCCCCTATTTCATGCAAATAATATAAAAATACTAGCCCGTGACTTCGTCTGGATGGAAAAGTTGGTTTCCCATAAAAAAATCCGTCCCCTTTTTCACACCCTGAAAGGATGATTTTCGAAACTAAAACTATTTTATGTCCCTTGCCGAGACTCAATTTATCTCTATACCAAATTTCAGATAATAGATTCAACGATTTAAGCGTGAAGGGGTAACAGACAAACACAGTTGAACATTTATAATATTAGTATGTATAAATGTTTCGGCAATCCTTATCATGGTCATGAGTCGCCATGTTATTAAGAACAAAATGTAGGTAACAATGGAACATATAGGTAATTATCATATCTAGTTCTAAATGAACACGATCTTGGTACTCCACACAAACTATGATCCCCTTTACCCCTTTTGGGGGCGAGTTTTAGAAATTCCTTTGATAGCGCACGCCTACATCATACACAATGGCTATACCTATGTGTGCCAAATTTCAGCGCAATCTCTTCAGTGGTTTAAACTGTGCATTGATAGATCAGTCATTCAGTGACGGTTGCTTTTTCAACGGCATAAAAAAAACGGAGGACATTATCAAGTCGACCTGTGTATATTTTTTAGGGTTCCGTAATCCTGACAGGGAACCCTTATAGTTTCGTTATGTCCGTCTGTCTGTCCCCGGTAAGAGAGGAGAGGTAAGTAAGACATATGATCAACTAGATACCCCGTTAAAAATGTTATTGTATGGGTTAAATGCAAAATATTTCATACTACCTCTAGATAAGAGTATTTGG